ATCATTTTGTTACACTTTCCAACCAGAGTTTATTGGTACATTTTATTTTATTTATTTATTTATTTATTTATTTATTTATTTTTGCGGAACCAGGGATTGGCCTGGCTCCTGTTCACATAGCTGGCTACCTGTGCGTGGGCCTGTCCCCCTGACCTTTTGGGGACAGATGCAGTGGTTGCACCAGTGCACCCTGAAGGATTTCCCTTTGTTTGGAGCAGGCGAATCTCCCATGCTCACACCCGCCCCTGGAGGGTCCTTCCTGAGCTGCCAGCACCTTTTGTAGTCAGCTCAGAGGACGACCTTAGTATTCAGAGCTTGAAACGCTCATTCCTGACAATATGGCAGTAAACAGAATAGAAAAATTCTTTAGCAAAGGTCTCTGTAGGATTTGTATTGATTGTTGTATTTCTATTGCTTATCATTTTTGTCAGTAAAAGAAAAACACAAAACTTTCATGAAGCGGTTAAGGAGAACGTCACTTTGGGCAGTGAAGCCTGAGGAGAACAGGCACTGTGTCTGTCACTCCCTGTGCTTCCGGGGCACGAGTGAGTCTCACAGACCGGTAGGTGAGTGTCCATTGCTGGTGAGACACAAACAGAGATAAATCTTCTCCCAGGAAATTAACTCAAGGCAATGGGCCATTAGCCAATACTCCTGGAACAGTTTATCCTCATCAAGTAGCGAGTGGGCTCAGAGATGGACATTTAAGATCCGGCAGGATGCACGAGGTAATCACAGTAAAGCTGCTGGTGACATCCCGTCCGCATTTCTCTGCGGATAACGTATTCCATCTATTGAATTATTATGAAGAGCTAAGCAAAACCCAGACCAGACACACGCAGCTTAATTGAATTGTGGATAAGATCTGAGGGGTGGGATGTATACACGGGAGCATCATGTTAGAGTTAAGAGCAAGACATTAATTATTTTCTGAGCCATCAATGTGGAAGGACTACAAGGAAAGCCGGAGGGCGGGGTGGAGAGAGACTGCAGCTTCAAATTGAAGCAGCAAGTAACTGCCCCTGGGTTGAGCTGTGTGGCAGGTGGAAGACTTCTTTCCTGACCCCTCCTTCGGCCATGACCTGGATTTCTCCAGCGCCAGAGGCCCCTGAAGTGGCACTGCCAGCAAAGTGGAGCAGCCACGAGGATGCTCTGCAGTCCCAACAGGGCGAGGTGCTAGCTTGAAGAATCCCTTCTTTCTTTTCTTTCTTTTCCTCTCTTCTCTCCCTTGCTCCTTCCAAAATATTCTTAGCCTAACTAGAAGCTGGAGACCAGCAGTCAGGAAGTCAGCCACCTTATGTTAGCAAACAGGCAGGTTCCCGGCACCTGACACATCTGTCGGAGGGCGGGCGAGGGAGGCCGTGCCTTCTCCTCCCAGATGCAGGCAGTGGGTGAAAGGCTCAGGGAGCGGGAGGGCGGTGTTGTTGCGGCCTTTCTTCGTTCTGCCCACCCACAGCCTCTCTCACTCCCCTCTCTTCACTGTTTCCTTTCCTGAGGTCACGTGGCTTCCAGACCTTAACCCCTGTATACTGTATCCCCCACTTTCTCCAGGATTTGTGCTGACCAGGATGGAAACACTGCATATCTTTTTTTCTTTTTCTTTTTTTTTTTCCAAAGAAGGAAGTTTCGGACTCATATCTGGGGCTTCTGTTTCCAAATCCTTCATTTCCAATGCTGCTGAAACAGTTTCAGCAATTTCTAGCGAGGAAAGCTGGAAATCTTTGCTTGATCGGAACTCATTCACTGGGGTCACGAAGGCTTCAATTCCTGTTTGCAGACTTAACCTCCAGGCTGTGAGTGTGAGCAGCAAGCAGTAGGTAGCTGCACACGTGGGCACAGGGAGAGGGTGCTTCACCACGGGGCCGGGAGGGGTCTCTGAGGCCTCCCACAACAGGTCAGCTGCATCGTTAGTAATAGATTTTTGCTTGTCTATTTTTTCAGATAGGAAATCAGATCTTGTTATATAGTTCAGGCTGGACTCGAACTCACTATGTAGCTTAGGCTGAGGTTAACCCCAGTGCTAGGGTTGCAGGTATGTGCCATCACACCTAACTTGTAGTATCTCTTATAATTAACCACAAAATGTAAAAAAGATTATTAGAAGCAGCTTCAATTAACAGCTTCACTGCGTAGTAAATAGGGCATAGTAGCAGAAGTAAATAATGAATTCCATTGTGAAAGTCTCACAGAGCGATTGCAAATCAAAAAATGTGCTAATTGACATTCCCAGTTGGGGCAGCAACCCCACTGGGTGGTACCGTACTTTTGTCTGTTTGTGCTGTGTGCCTTGAACATTCCCTTGGGAATAATGAGTTGGATCTTTGTTTGATTCTCTGTAACGAGGGGTACCACGGTAAGGAGGCACCACATTCTTTCTTGAAGGTGATCCGCAGGAAGGTGGATAAATACAGCTGCTGGGGCCTGAGGCAGTGCAGCTCACAGATCTGAGGGGATCCTTACTTACCAGAAGCTGTCCCTGTAGCCCGTGCGGCAGCCAGACCCCAAATGGAGCGAATTGCAACGTGTGCTCTGGGCCGAATGGAAGTGTTGTTTTCAGTAGAGGACAGAGGTGTCCCTCCGGCCTCAAGACGCAGGTTCCTGTTTACAAAATGTGCACGCTGAGACGTACATAATGCCCTCCTTGGATAAGCAGGCTTCTGTGGGAGACGACATGGGAAAACAATGCTTCTTTTTTTCTTTTTAAAATAATTTATTGAGAACAACAATTCAAAGTCTTTACTTTTAGGACTATCAAGGGTCACCCATGGATCCGCTGGACAGGCTCAAGATGTCCCCTCCCCCATTGCAGAGCCTTGTCCCCTTGATTCTGTCCAGAAGCCATGTGGAAGTGTATGGAGGCTACATGCAGGACATTCACTTGAAGGGAAGTCACAGGTTTAGTGTTCCTTGTCACGTGGACCCTGGATTCCTGTTGGGTGTGCTGTAAACTGAGGAACTGTTCTTCAGGTCACCTGCTCTGAGCACACCCTGATGAAGCTTTACTTTGACCCCTGGATACATAATAGAAAGCATAACTGCAAGCCAGTGTTGTGGTGCAGGCCTGTACTAAGCTGCAGCCTCTGGGAGGCTGAAGCAGGAGAATCGTGTGGTGGAGCTCAGCCTGGGAAAATAAGTGAGATCCTGGCTCAAAATAAAAAAAAAATTAAAAAGGGTGATGGTGTAGCTCAGTGAGAAGGCCACGGGTTCAATTTCAGTACCCCAAACAAACCAGGCTTTCCGTCCCATCTCATCAAATTTATGCTCATTAGTGCGAGAGCACACATGGGAGGCTGAGGCAGGAGGATCACAAGTTCCAGGCCAGGCTGAGCAATTTAGTGAGACTCTGTCTCAAATAACAATAATCAAATCAAATCAAATAATGGGAAAGTAGAGTCTGTCTTGATTGCTGCATGGTGCTCAGAGTGAGAGAATAAAAATGTAATGGGCAGGATTTTATGAGCCACAGTCTGTAGTAATCAGGCTTGAACTTGACTCCTCCCCAGTACTGGGCATAGAAACCAGGGGACTTCAACCACTATGTCTTTAGCCATTTTTCTTTTCTTTTCTTTTCTTTTCTTTTCTTTTCTTTTCTTTTCTTTTTTTTTTTCCCCAGGCGAGACTCAAACTTGTAATCCTTTTGCCTCAGCCTCCCAATTGATGGGATCACCACATTTACTTTACGTCCCCAGACTTACTTTCATTTAGGCTGCCATGCAGGGAGTGTAAAAACCAGGCCGGGGGCCTGCCCCTTAGCTCAGTTCCTTAAGTGCCTGCTTCAACAAAGCAGTCAGGCTCAGGTTGCTGTGGTTCCATCCCCACAGCTCAAGCCAGCCAAACCTGCCCTGAAGGCATTTGGAGAAAAAAAACAGGCCAGTGTGGGGTGTCCAAAATGAGGAAAGATGGAAACAGCTTGCCCAAGAGTGACCCCTGGAATTCTCAATCTAGGGCTGGAATAGCAGTGTGTGATAGCGCACACCTGTAATGCGTCACTCAGGGACGCTGATGCAGGAGGGTCGTTGAGAGTGAGGCCAGCCTGGGCCTAGAGACTCTGTCTCAAAACCCAGAAAGAAACAAAACAACAAAAACATGGAGTGGAAGGCTTCTTAGGGAAATGAGGTTACTTTGCTGTAAAGTTTGTCAAATTACTCATTACTTTTGAGTAGTTTTTTTTTTTTTTTTAAAGACATTTATCCAGCATCATGATCAGACTATTACATTTAGCAATCACAGCATGGGTGCAAAAAAAGATCTACATTAAAACCCTTTGTTGGAATGCTTTACACTTTCCACAGAACAGAAGCTAAAATAACTTGTTATACAATTAGTCATAAATACAGTCCTCGGGTTTTTTGCCCATATGTGTGAGTATTGTCTAAAATATGTCTTCTGGGGCTGGGGAGATAGCTCAGTAGAATAAGCACTTGCCTGGCAAGCACTAGGGCCTGAGTTCAATCCCCAGTTCTGCCAATAAATAATAAATAAATAAATAAATAAATAAATAAAATAAAACATGTCTTCTTTGTAGCAGCTAGGCCCTGCCACCACTGTGCTTGGCTGAGTTCACAAATCTGTTGTAACCTGTAGCTTCCCTGTCACTCCTCTGGCTCTCCTCTCCTGCTAAGCTTTGTTTCCTGAAAGTGTTTAAAACCTGCTACAGCCATCATAGCCACCTTGATTTTGTGGTTTAGTAAAATATTGGCCTCCACCACTATAAGGCCCAGAGATTCTGCCTCCAAAGTTTCCTCCCTTCATAGGTCCAAAATTTAAAGACTAAGGGCCAGCCAAATAGCTCAGCAGATAAAATGCCTGCAAGCAGGTGCAGAGGCTAGGGTTGAATCCCTCACCTGCTGTGCTGGCCCCACCCACAGGGCATGCTGAGACAGCAATTGAGTTTAGGCATGGTGGCATGTGCCTGTAATCCCAGGTCTTGGGAGGCTGTAAACAGGCGGATCACTACAAGTCCAATCTAGGAGTGAGACCCTGAACACCTGCAGACCCTTCCCTTAAAAAAAAAATTGAAGACTGACTGTTGTAATTGCCAAATTAATTATCACTTCTAATACCTCTATAATTGTTTCCATCACTACCAAATCCATTGTAGCCATCTCCACTGCCACTATATCCACCCCCTCTATGGCTGCCACCAAAGCCACCTCACTCAAGTTTCCTCCGTGAGTGAAACTGTCATTGCCACCAAAGCCAACTCCATGACCACCACCAAAATTTCCAGAACCTCTTTGATGAAGCACTAGCCATTTCCTGCTTCAACAGGGCTTTCCTTACTTCACAGTTATGGCTGTTCACAGTGTGGTATTTTTGAATGACAGTCTTATCCACAGAATCATGATCATCAAAGGTTACAAAAGCAAAGCCCCTCTTCTTTCCACTGTCTCAATCGGTCATAATTTCAATCACTTTGATTTTTCCATATTGTTCAAAATAATCTTGGAGGTGATGTCCTTCAGTATCTCTTTAATGACACCAAAAAAGATCTTCACCGTTAAGTGGGCCCCCAGTCTTTGAGAATCTTCTCTTGAGACAGCTCTCTTTGGTTCCACAACTCTTCTGTCCACTTTGTGTGGCCTTATATTCATGGCTGCATCGACTTCCTCCATAGTGGCATAAGTGACAAACCCAAAGCCCCTGGAACACTTGGGGTTTGGGTCTCTCGTTACCACACAGTCTGTGAATGTTCCCCATCGCTCAAAACGGCTCCTCAGATGCTTTTCAGTTGTTTCAAAGCTCAGCCCTCTGATGAAGAGCTTCTGTAGCTGTTCAGGCTCCTTGGGAGACTCTGACTTAGACGTGATGGCAGTCGGAAGGGAGATTGATGGTGCTTCCTCTGTGGTGTCCACCAGCAGTAAGGAATATACTACTAAGAGTACTTCACCTTGAGTAGTTTTTAGTGAAGTCATTATTCAATCTCACCCTTTGGTGTCCTCTGCATACCAATAAAATTGGACTTGAGAAAGTTTTTTCGCCCCTTTATTTACTACGATTTTCCCCAAATGAATAATCTTGCTTGAGTCAGATATTCCCCAGAGTGGCCTTTGTGGGCTCAAATTAGCCTCAGGGAAGTTATGCATCTAGAAAGAAGTCCAAAGAGCCTGTTGTGGCACACGCCTATAATCTCTGCACTCAGAAGGCTGAGACAGGAGGGTCACTGTGAGTTCAGGGCCAGTGGGGCTACCTAGCAGGACCCTGCCTCAAACAACAACAACAAAGTCATGAGAATTAGAGTTGTGTTGGAAATATCAATAAGCAACTTTTCCTGGGGAAGGAGGTTTAGGCATAGATGAGCCCATGACTACCAGCAGCACTCCATCAGGAGGCTTGCACGTGTGTCTCAGGTCCCAGTCTGCCACTGGGCCACCAGAACCAGCAATCTGTGCCTCTCTAGAAAAGCAGAGAGCACATTTTCCTTCACTCAAGGCCCAGGTCCCAGGACACTGACCCCAACCCACTTCCCCCAAAAAACCCTCAAGAGGTGACAGAAGATTCTCACAGAGTTTTACCAGTGCTCCACACCAAGTGTGTCTGACAGATTACTGGCTTGGTGAACTCACTAGCGGCTTAGAAAACAGACCACTAATGAAGGACTCAAAAGGTTTCTCAAGAACAAAGATAGAAAGGGCTTCCCCAAGTTGACAACCAGCTGACCACTTCCATTTATGAATTTGTCCAAAGCTAAAGGAAAGCGCTACAGAGGAGGAGCTTCAGGCTGCTGACCGCTCAGAAGGTACCATAGAAGGAAGTGCAGAGGTCACAGCTAAAAAACCAGCAAAAGGAACTGGAAATTTTCCAGAAGGAGAAACTTCACAAATAAGATTCACCAAGCAAACCACAGGGTTTTACATCCCCCCTTTATTCACTTACTACAGCTGTTTTGAGAACTGACACCATCACACAAGTACTTGTGATGTTTACAAAGTAGGCTAACAGCCAAGAGGACCTACACATCTATTTCACCTCTTTTGGCAAACAGCACTTAGCATGACACAGACCGAAAGTACAGAAAAGGAAAAAGGATGAAAAGAAATGGCCTGTTCGATAAGGAAGCCAAGCGAGCGGGAACCAATAAATAACCAGAGCCAAGCAACACGCAGCAGAGCGACTCAGTGCAAAGTGGGCAGAGCTCATGGCTCCATCCTGTCATCACCCACAAGGGACTTCTGTGGTGCTGTGCTGGGCAGTGCTGGGGTCTGCAGCTGTAGGCAGTGTAGGCCTTGCATTTGGGGGCTCCTAGGAAATTTACAGAAAAGGCAAAGACTGCCCAACCAAGCACAAGCAGTCAGTTTATTCAGAGCCTGCTGTAGCTAGGGAGTGGGCTACTACCTTTTGCTCTTGGTAGTGTCCCCAGGGCAGAAAAGGGACTGGGAAGATATACAGAGCAGGAGACAGAGAGGGAGGAAGGCTTTGGTTCATGTGGTACTCTTGGTATGGGAAAGCGGGAGCAGGCAGCTGGCAGGGGCACCCAGTGAGGCTGGTCTGGGGCCTTCGAGGGCTGAGTTGCAAGGGCTGGCACAAAGCAGGGGAACTGACAGGGCCCAAGCAAGTCCTTGCTGTTCTGGGCCGATTGCTGCAAGGCCTGTGGGTTGGCTTCCTCGATCAGTAGCTACAGGCTGGATCAGAGTTCTCTGTCACATGCTGTGTGGCTATTGCCCCTTTGTCCATTTAGTCTTTCATTAGTCATCTGATGTCTCTTAAACCACATTGCACAGACAGATGTCCCCTCCACCCATTGGGAGAAGGTCCCTTGTTGGAAACAGTAGCAGTCAATTTAGGATAGTCTGGCTGACATGGCTGACACTGACAAAGGATCTGCAAACTGTGGTACAGGGTTACAGGATAAATCCTGAGGGGACTTGACTGACCTTATCAGATACAAAAATTACATTTCTTGTTACATAGGTCTTACTTTATCTTGGTGTTAACCATCCAGCAGAAAAGTATAAAAACTAGGTATATAAAGTTAAGCCATATTAATATG